CTTTGTACTGAAAAAAAATCTACACTTGGATAAATTACCCTAAAAATTAAGAGATTATATTCAGAAAAATTCATTTTCCTCTTTTTTTTTTTTTTTCATTTTCCTCTTTTTAATCTCTATTTTTTGTTTCCACAATATTTCTCAGCTTTTTTCGTGTGACATAAGTCATGTACCATAAAATTCACCCTTTCCACTGCCCAATTCAGGGGTGTTCAGTATACTCACAGAACTGTGCAGCTCCCACTGTGATCGGATTTTCCAATGTGCCATCACCCAAGAAAACACGCCCCGCTCATAGGCAGTGGCTCAGTCTCCTGGCAACCATTAATCTACTTTCTGCAACGAGGGCTCACGCACAGAGAAGGGGGGAAATCACTTAAGGTAAGAAGCCCTGGATTCAGAGACACAAATACGGGCCGCCCCGGGGGGCTTGGATGTTTGCAAATTACACGTATGTGAGTCCACATGGCCATTAGAATGTGTCACTGTCAACTGTCATCCAAGTGGAACTGCACTTATCTAGTGTGAGAATAAAATCTTGATCTTTTTAGAACATTAATTAAATGGGTTTTTTATGAGTTAGCTTTCAGGAACTGTGCGACTACAAGAATTAGGCATTTATCCACAAGCCTCTCACCTCTGGAGTCCTTCGAAATCGGATAGAGAGCCTTTGAGTCAAATTGCAAATGCTGTCCATATTATAATACAGTATTATGTAACCAGGATCATTCTAAGGCATTGGGGTTCCTTAACTCAACAAAAGCATTCTGTTCCATTTACTGGGGTTTTCTTACCAAGGTGAGACTGGAGCTCCCAAGGACAAGAGTCAGGAAATCCCCACTGTTCTGGGATGCAAAAATCTGGTTAGAATTAAAGCCAGAAACTCTATAAACTACACAGGAAGGGTGCATGCCTGAATTCACAAATTCGTTGTAAACTTGTGACTGCATTTTTCTCTAAAAACTGTGGGAAACTAACACAGAGGGAAATATGATGAGGACTATATTCCCTAACTTACAACAGAGGGAATCTGGAAAGCTAGTATTCCAGAGTAAGAAAGCCTCCACTTTGGTTAGAGGTAAAATCCAAGTACATTATCCTGCTTTAAATATCGTTCCCACAGATTCTCCCTTAACAGCTTTGCTGCCTTAAACACATGGTTGATTGCAGCTCCACATAGAAGCAGACATCCTTTTCTCTCTTCCTCCCATGACACCCAGCCCCCCCTCACACCCTCCCCCAATGCAGGTGTTAGGTTTCACCTATGAGTTCAGGGACCTTCATGTAGTTACCACTCACCTTGTGATGCATGTAACTACTGAATATGCATGTCATATGGCTACCTATAAATGTCCCAAGATAGTAAAGGCTCTCTTTCACTTCTCCCAGTTCCACACGGACCATCAAGAGGGGCTGAGGTGAGCATGCTACCACAAAATGTGTCTGACTCCTTTTTTTAGTCTCTCTCCTATCTTTCCTATCCTCTATGACTTTACTATAATCTTCATATATCATCGCCGTACAACTGCGCATACTGGCCCTTCAGTTGTTGGAGGCTGGTTTCCTCTGACAAAAAACAAACCATAACTGTTGCTCCTTTTATCTGTCCAATATTCATATATTCAAGTTCAAATTACAAATCCCCAGAATTCCTCAGCCTCTGAATCTGGACTGGCCTGACATTCCTCTATGCTCCTAACTCACATCCATCTCTGATCCTAGTTCCCACACATCCAAGCTCCAAGCACTGACCACTCTGTGCTTTTAACTCCTCATCTAAAACCTAACCATGGGCACATTAAAAAAAAAAATGTCGAAAAGAGAAAAATCATATAGCGGAAAAAAAAGGTTGGTGGGGGGCAGATACAGAAACATTTTCACTTAGTGCGTATGACTCAATCAGGAGCCACGTTAACACATTTAGTACTTATCGGACATGCCACCTTTGTATAGACATCTATGCCCGCCTTTCTTCTCCAGCAATGCCAGACAAGACTCTGGTTTAGGTTTGGAGAAAACCCCACTGAGGTCCTGCTGCTGCGTGGAATCACGTCAGCTCAATCTGGTAATTGAGCAGTATTCTGTTGACACCTACGAATCTGAAACCCTGGAGTAAGCCAGAAGAATAAGAGTTTGGGAATCGCAGATGGTGACAGAACTGAAAAGGAAGGAGACAACACTGAACTTTCTGTTTCTCATAAAACATGAGAACGGAACTTAAGCTATGCATTTTATTATCTGAAAATCATCAAGCCCTGAAAAGTGCTTCATGAAAATGAATACATATGAATATAAAGCAAAACAACAAAGTAAAACCCATTGTTGTGGAGGCGATGACAACTCAGAGACACAACATGGAGCAGAGTGCACTGCCCCCCAGGGCTCCCACGACTGCAGCCTTCAGCAGCAGACTCTCCAGCTTTCACCCACAGCGGGGCGGGGGCTCCAACTATCAACTTTCTGATTAGCAGTCAAACACTTTAACCACTGTGCCATGAGGGCTCCTTTGGCTTAATATGGAATTTAAAAACTAAAAACCAAACAAACAAAAAAAACCTCTAAGAGGTGTAAAACATAAAATGTGAAAAAGTAAGAAAGAAAAAGCAACTTTCACATGCACCTGTAAAGCTGCCACCAGGCATTTTAGCAAAACCACAACTGTGCCTCTATTTACCATACCTGAGCATACTGTGGGGCCAGGCTGCATGTTAATGAAAGAATACAAAACAGGGAAACGTTAGCAGAATCAACTGGAAAGCGGTTGCATGGAGAAGCACAAAACTAATTTACAGGCTTTTATAATCTGTATTTAACAGGGATTATTAGTTTTACAGCTTATTTTTAACTCAGTTAACCAACCACACTCTTAGTTATGAGCATATGACCCAGGGGATTATTTTATTTGTTAAAATGTTTTGTCCTTTTCAGATTCCAGAACAAGTTGTAAGATCAAGTCAATTGTTAAATTCATTTCATTTTAGAAGAACAGAAGTATTCCTTTTAGGTTGTATGTACTTTATGTCATTAATAAAATAAAGACTACAGCCTTAGTTTGGCATCAGATATAAACAGCTATGTCAAAAGTAAGTACTATCTCAAATCTAGAATAAAACCGTTTGCAGCATTAAATATAAAATATACATTTTAACTGAAAAAAAGAAAATAGGAAGCTATCCTAGTAACACTACTCGCTTGTTTATCAAGTCAATTCTGACTTCAGCGACTCTACAGAACAGGGCAGAACTGCCTCTGTGGGTTTCTGAGGCTGGAAATCTTTATGGGATCAGACAACCTCATGTTTTCCCTCAAGTGCAACTTCTGGGCTTGAACGGCTGATGTTGTGATTAGCAGCCCAATGCATGACCCACTATACCACCAGGGCTCCTGGTAACACTATTCAGAAAAGAGAAATCATGTTTTCCACATTGTATGGCCCTACAGTTGTTCACAACCTCAGTAGCTCCCATTTGCAACTGTTAAATACATTCAGAAACACGGCAGGCAGCCATTGGCTCAGCATCATGACCTTGCAGCAGCACAAGGGCTGAGCCCACGTTAATACTTACTTCTCTTCTGTGACACGGCCTGCAAGCACGCCGTGACAATGTCACAGTTCTTCTGCACTTTATGCAGAAGCCTGTCTTTCTGCTTCAACTGCCGGAGTAACTTTGCCGACTGAGTGCCAATTCTGTACTTCAGCTCTTGAAGGATCGTCTTCAGCTCACTGGTGTCTATTAGAGAAGAAAAAAATTAAACGCAGAGAGATAAATGCTTTGAGAAGCACACAAATTCCAGTGCTGTGTGAGTCAAAAGGTCCACTTTAACTTACCCTGGATTGTCACGTATGAGAAAGGCACTAAGCCATCCTTTCATCTTCTGTCCTCACCTATGACACAAATACCTCAAGTTGCATCCTGGAGGCTACCACTAACCCATGAGAAAAGACCCTTCCTTTTGAAAATTTACCTTTTATTGCCTGGAAACTGCCATATGCATTTGTGTCACTAATGAGCTCAGAGAGCAAGCTTGCAGTCAGTTACTTTAGTACTAAACCTAATAGCTGATAACAATATTTTTTTAAGCGCATAGCTTTGTCTGTAAATAGCCCAGCTGAAAGTAAATATTACTACACTTTCTAATGTAGATGAATGTGGCAATTCTGGTTTGGTTTTACATGGACGAATAGTTTCCTGATAGCCTGTTAGGCACAATTTTTTATCTCACAGACTCAGTGATTTCTCAACTCTGGTAGAAAGTCTATTTCTTTTTCCTTTAAAACCCGCCAAGGATAATTCTACATTCATAATACTGATTTCTCAACAGCAGCCTGAGAATGAGAACTGTCAACAATCTCCCTAAGAATAATCCTGCTGGCTTGGAAATTTTGTTCTCCACACTCAGTGTCATCCTTCATCACTAGAGGGGACCTGAGACACAGCCGAAGCTTTCCACTCAAGCAGCAATGGCTAGACCCTCATTAGGTAGCGGGATGGGGGCTGACTCATTTTTAAAGGGATTTAGAAAACCCGCAGAGGATCAGGAAAATGTAAAAGATATGCTCAAAAGTAGGAACATTACTCCAGAGGTCAAAATGAACTTCCGGGGTCTATCTAAAGAGAGTCTGAGCAGTCTTTAACAACTGTCATACCTGACAGCACCCGGGAAGATGAACACGACCTTGAGTCCCAAAGAATTGCCTTTGGGTCAGCCTGGGTGATCTTAGACAAACGAGTCCCAGACCGTGCCCAGCCCCCTGGATTCCTCTGTGAACCTAATGTGATGGCCTCTGTAGACTACACTACAAAAATACCTTCAACAAGCACAAGGAAGTACTATGAGGTCTTCCTCTCAGTTGGAGGTCAAGCTGGTGGGATACGACGGGAAGAAAAGGCACATTAGGATTTGGGCGCTCTAAGATTCAACTATTGGTCTACACCCATCCACAAAAAGACCAGACTTGAGGGTATGAGAGAAACTGGTGGGCCCCTGAGACAGTGACCCTTGGACACCCTTCACACCTGGACCCATCCCCAGAGATCACCCTGCAGCCAAACTACAGTCAGGCCTATCAGGGACACAATACACTTGGTGACGAATGTACTCAAGGAACCAGGCCAGGCCAAAGGGCCGCTTGTGCCCAAAGCAAAACCAAGAAGGCAGGAAGGAGCTGGACAGATGAACAGAAACTGGGAACACTGACAGAACTGCCAGCTCTACAAAGCGGGCATAAATCGCTGCATGGAAAAAGATTTTGTTCTGTAAATGCTCACACAAACCACAATGACTAAAAACAAAAATATTTTGGTTTGAAAGATGATTACAGGTGTGGACAAGTTATCAAGAGGGGCCAGAGGTTCTCCATTGCTAGATCCCTTCAGGCAAAACAAACACTTTCTATTTACATTTTCTTCTAGAAATAAAAGATAGCGAAATATCACCTTGCATATAAATGATGCTTTTGCTCAATGACCGAATTTTTACATTATCTCATTTTCAGTGATTCCTAAGATATCTCTGTTATGTCGAGTTGTATGTATTGTCTTGTAAAATGTTCACGGCTTGAAATGCCTTCTACTATACCTGCTGGCATATGAGCACCTGAGGACAGGAGCCTGGTCTCCTTTATCCCTGCACACCCTACGGAATCAGACATAGCACCTCCTACCCCTCTAAAGAAGGGGAACAAGATAGTGTGCTGTCAAAGTGTTGACACTTTCCTCTCTAAGGAACTTCAGTAAGAATAAAAACTATACATAACACGGAACACTCTATATATACATAAATAATACTGCCTGCTCCCGTAGCATCCTCATGGTCTTTCCAGTGTTTGCACCCATTCTTGCAAGCCTTCTGTCCATCCATCTCATGGAAGGCCTTCCTTTTTTCTTCACCAAGGGACTGGCTCCTCCTAAATCGCATGTCCAAAGTACACGAAAGGAAGTCTCCCCATTCCTGTTTCTAAGAAGCATTCTAGCTGTACTTCTTCCAAAACAAATTTATTCACTCTTCTGGAAGTTCATGGTATATTCAACATCTTTGTCAACACCATAATTCAAATGCATCAATTATTTTTCAGTCTTCCTCATGAATAGTTCAACTTTAATATGTATAGTATGAGGCAACCGAAATTACTATGCTTTAGTCAAACACATCTTTATCCTTAAAAGGATAGCTCTGCTCCTTCACACTTTTAAGAGGCTATTAACAAATGTGCCCAAAGCAATACATCACTTTTAGTTCTTGACGGCTGCTTCCATAAATATTGAATGTTCATCCAAGTAAAATGGAGTGATAGAGGAAGCATCAAAAGAAGATAGAAAGAATACAGTCACTGTACCAAAAAGAAGTAGTTGACATTCAACCATTTCAAGAGGTAGCATGTGAGCAAGAATCAATGGTACTGAAGAAGTCTAAGCCACGCTGATAGCATTAGACAAAAACCAGGCTTCAGGAACTGATGGAATGCCCACTGAAGTGTTTCAACAAGCTGATGGAGCATTGGAAGCACTCACTCATCTTTGCCAACAGATTTGGAAGATAACTATTTGGCCAACTGATTGGAAGAGATTCATATTTCTACCCATTCCGAAGAAAGGTGACCCAACAGTATGTACAACTTAAAGAACAGTATATCCTTGATAGCCCAAGCAAGTCGAATTGTGTTGAAGACCATTCAACAACAGTTACAGCAGCACCTTGGCAAGAAGCTGCCAGAAATTCGGGCTGATTTCAGAGCAGGACATGAAACCAGGGGTGTCATCGCTGATGTCAGATGGATCGTGGCTGAAAGCAGAGAATACCAGAAAGATGTTGACCTGTGTTTTATTGACTCTGCAAAGGCATTCAACTGTATGGACCATAGCAAACTATGGATTGCCTTGAGAAGAATGGGAATTCCAGAACAGAGCTGAATCCCTGACAGCGAGAGGAAAGAATCAACCATCCTATCACAGGTTTTCAGTATTAGCTGAGACTCTTAGTGAAGTCAGAGTAAGGCTAATTTTTTTTTTTTTTACCTTTTGGAAAAGGTCAAAAAATCTAATAAGCATCATTATTTAGGCAGACAGCTAAATTCTAAATTTCCATCACCTGGCTCTTCAGCACTCTCATGATATTTACCAATCAAGGTGCAGGTATTTGTGGTCGTGATGGTGGTCAGCGCAAACGAGTTGATTTCAACTGGTAGCACATAGTAAAATTGCCCTTGTTTTTCTAGGCCGTACTGCTTGACAGGAGCTGCTCAGCAGGTCTTTCTCCCGCAGAGTAGCTGGATGGGTTTTAAATGCCAAGCTTTTGATTAGTAGCTGAGCATTAACTCTGTTGCCACCAGGATCCCTTTCATGTGTGTGTGTAGGGCCCTGAAAGAGGGCACCTTTCATCCTGTTCCCATCACTATGGGAGAGAAAGGCTCAGTGGGCAGTAAGATTGGAACTTGGACTGACTAAACTTTTAAAGGTCACTTGTAGCCTTGCGAAGCTGCACCTCTCCGTTCAACCTTAGCTTCCCAATTTCCCTCTTCCAAACAGAAACGAATCACCACAAATCCCTCAGTAATAGGGAGTGAACAGTCTGGTAAAAAGAGAAAGTCAAATCTTAACCCTTGAGAGGCGTGTCGGAGTTTGGAAGTACTAACCGCTAAGGAACTTTTGCAGGAGAAAAGGTTTTTTCACCTTTCCCAGAAAGAATGACACTCTAGAAAACCCAGAGGCGGTTCTCCCCTATCCTACGGGGTGGCCTCGATGGCAGTGCGTTTGATATTTTGGCAAGAACTCTGAGCATAAACATACACTCTGAGAACAATCAAATAAGCATAGAACCTGAAAGGGTAAAACTCCAGGCAAAGTGACAGGCAGGGCAGAGGAAGGTGGGAGGCATCTTTAACAACCCGCTTTAAAAATAATCATCATCACAATAAAATAAGCCTTTATTAAGAAGCCTTTACAAAGGAAGCTGAAATCTATTTACGCAGGTTTGCAAAAGCTGACAGATTTAGTTTCTGAACATTTTGTTTCTTTTGGCACCGGTCAGTCTGATTTTACAATCAGGAGACAGGAAAACGGTCCTCCTTTCCTCCCTCCCTCCCTCAGTAATCTGATTTAGCACAAGGGTGATTACTTTCAAGAAATGTGATGGGGCTCACCATCTGTCTTCCACACCTGACCTCATTTTGTAAACTGGGATTCGGATATGCCTATGCAAAAGTACAGCTATTGTGACTGGATTCGTAAGGCAAGTTATTATGAATAGCTGAGAGGAAAGGATTAGGGTTCAAGCGTCAAACGTTGAGAACAAAGCCAACACCAAATTAGTCTCTCCCACTGAAAGCCAAGGTCATTTCCACACCGCCCTCTCTACCACATCCGAAGGTAGCAGGTTAACCCTGTACTCCGTCGCAAAGGGCATTTTTCATTCAGTGAGTTGGCACCCCCTCGGTTGATTTGGCGCCCCTTGGCTTGATGTGACTGGGAGGTTCCTTAGAAGCAGGCGTTCTGGCAGAAAGTGGGTTCACACCTTCGTTTCCGAAACCGCACGATGGGATTGTTCTGCCTCACGAAGTAAACACGACCGAGTCGTGTGTCCCAGGAAGCAAGATTTCACACACCCGGACCAGGAGTGGCCAAGCCTTACCCTCCGGGCGCCCTCTAGGCAACTTCAGGTGTACTTTTCGCCGAAACTCCAACAAACCTGTGCCAACAGCTGGGGCTGTGCAGTTGACCACGGGGGCTTCCTCTCCGCCA